CTTGTTTCCATCTCTTCCTGGGCCCAGTACACCCTTCCTGCTGTGCATTATTCACTCTGCTTTCCTACTGGGGACAAATGCTCCAACATCTCCCACGGGATCTGAAGCTGAGATGATGTAGCAACTTCTTATTTTTGCCTAAAAATTTGCTCTGACTTAAACAGAATCCTCCTATGGCAAAGCCATTAAAGCCAGTTTATTTTACAGGATTTTATCTTTTAAACCACGTAGGGTTTATATATAGCACATATAGCTTTGTTTCCTCCTCCTCCGACGCTGGACAGCTCTACTCAGTCCTGATTCTAGTTCAGTCTTTGCCCTGTTCTTTTTTCTCTACAGAATCTGCTCCAAAACTTCAGCTTTCTCCTCCCGGATGCTGTTCTTCGATCCTCACCTAGTGAACTCCCGGCATGGATCTAATTGTTTCCAAACACCATCCTGGCCAAATTCAATTGTCCATCAAATTTCTGACTGCAGCTATTTCAATTATGCCCCCTCCTCTGGACCCCACTGCAATCCCTCTCACTCCCTGAAGATAACCTTTCTTCTCATTTTTATGAAACAGCAAAGATTTGAGGTGAGTTCCTCAACACCTAAAAGTTACTGTGTTTTCATCCATCCTTCCTCTGTCTCCTTCCTCCAGGAGAAAATGTTTCTCTTCTATTCCAGAATGAACCTTTGCCCTGTGGGTCAGTATGAGAGAAGAATTTGAGGTGAAACACACTTAGGCATGAATCTCAGTTCTTTTCCTATTAGTGGCATTTGTAATGTGTAAGATGGAAATCGTTTAACCTAGCTCATAGGAATGATATAAGGATCCCTTAAAATTACTTAAATTCTTACTTAATCCCTTGAAAGTACTTCCTATGACATAGTAAGTACTTGAAAAATAAGATAAATGGTCTTCTTTGAATGTGTTCAATCCCCCCATCCTCTCCCATTTTCAACAAACATCACGACCTTGTCACCTTGTGGCCTCCTCAATCTTTCTCCCTCATACAGGCAGAATCACCTCTTCCTGCAGCCTTCCCTATCCCAGGAAATGGCAACTTTATTGCTCGGGCTGACAACATGAGGGTTATCCTTGACGTCTCTCTTTTTATCACGTCTCACTTCTGGTCTATCAGCAAATTCTGTCATCTCCTTGTTCAAACTATATTCAGGATCCAAGCACCTCTTTATATCTCTACTGCCACCATCCTGATCCAAACCACCATGATTTCTCACCTGAGTTAGTGCAAAAGCCTCCCCTCTACGGTCTCCCTGCTTCCACATTTCTCACCTCCTTCCCCAACTATTCTCAACACAGCAGCTAAAGTGATTGGAGCATGCCACTCCTCTGCTCACAATCTCCCAACAGCTCCCATTTCACTCAAAGTCAAAGCCAGAGTCCAAACAATGGCCTTTGAGGCCCTTCTTGATCTGACCCACCAATCACTCTCTGACATCATCTCCTTCCTACTCTTTCTTCTACTCCTCCCACACTACACCTATCAGTCACACTTCAACCTCAGGGCCTTTGCACTTGCCCTTCCTTCTGCACAGTGTGCTTTCCCCAATATCTGCATCACTTCCTCAACTTCTTTTGGTCTTTGTTCAAATGTCCCTTTCTCACTGAAGCCTTACCTGGCCACCTTATCTAATATTGTATCACAACGCTCTATGCCTAAAATACCTCCCCCTTCCCTGTTAAATGTTTCTCTTCACAGTTATCACCTGCCACACATTTGTCCCATTTGTGTCTGTCTCCATATACTGTCATGCACACTCTTTGGAGATGGAGGTTTTACCTGTTTTCTTCTCTGCTGAGCTTCTGGCATATAGTTGGTGCTCCATAAGTATTTCTTGAACAAATGTTGAACAAATAAATCCAGGAATACTTAAATCTCTAATGAACTAACTGACTAAATAATAGACCTCTCTTGACCAATTTTAACCTTCTCTGCCTTCTCATACACTGGAAAACAGACAGTCACAGCAATGAAAGTGGGAGGAGCCCAGCATCTCCTAAGAACCTTGAAGGAGTCTCAGGTTCAACCTTCTTTGAGAAGATTGAGTATACATCCTGCTTCTAGAGATAAACAGGGAGATCCTGTGCAGGTAAATTATTCCTGCACGGTTCCCTATACGCAGGGTGCTTAAGCTTCCAAATAGTAAACAATAGCATTGCGGTCTCTTCCAAGATGTGTAGTGACACTAGCACATAGCTATTTATATTATCATGCTATACATACACATTCGGCACAAAGTTAAATCTTAATATATTTTCTGTAGCTTTGATCTTACTATTTACTCCAAACTATTACCAGCACGAAACAATTCTCACATTTTACCTTCCAATTGTGGCAAATGTAGTACTTCTCATCTAAAACATCCCAGAACTGGTGGGGATACGATATTAGTAATTTTTATTCCCAATTTTATAGCATTATGTATTATCTGAATGAAACTTGAAAGAGCGTGCATTACTTTATAAACAGAAAAGATAATATTTATTTAACAAATAAAGTAACTTTCAGAGTTATGAACTTTCTTCAAAAATAATAACTGCCTCAGTGATAAAACCACAGAACATTCATGCCTTAGCATTCAGTATGACATACCTGGAAAGTTATGAAGTGGCAAGAAGGGATCTGTACAAAGGCCACTACACACCATAACGCCATCAAAGACATAGCATTTCTGCTTCCCTTCAGCCTCGACCACAACGTCCCACTGTCCTGTGCAAGAGAAGTTGGAGCGCTTCCTCACACTGCACACCTTCGACTGGGAATGAGACAAACGCAGACTTGTGACCACTCTTCCTGGTTGCCCTCCTGTCCAAGAACTCAGTGAATAAGGTTGGGTATAGCTACTCTCCTCTGAGGTTTTGTGAAAGAGTTCCTTTATTACTAGTTTCCCTACCAGGCTCTTTTATGTAGAGACATAGCCCCGTTTGTTCCCAACTGTGGTCCTGAATGTGGTTAGTGGTGAGCCAACAGCAGGTGCACAGTCTGGCATTTCAGCCAATCCACCATCCTTTTTTCCTGAAGGAGGTGAGGAGAGGAGTTCTTGCTTACTTCACTGGAGATGTATGCAAAGCTAACCTTTAAGACCGAATGGATGTCTCTCTGCACTTTGCCCTGGCCCAGCTCTCGACTCTACTTAGAGGGTTCTGCATGTGCTAAGCGTTTTCTGTCCCACTTACCAGAAAGTGGATGTGCTTCATAAGGCCAAAGTGTTGGACGTACATCCTGAGGTACTCCATGATTTTGGAATTGGGCAAGTAGTTGGGAAAATGATCAGGGGAAGGATAATCACTGTAGGCTGTCATCTCCTTTGAACTGTTGCTGATGACAGATTTATAGATACTTGGCCTGTCAGTCTTAGCCTTCTCCTACAGAGGAAAAAAGGACACCCACTGTCTTTTAGAATACAAGAGTAACAATTAAAAAATAAAAACCTTTATTTGTCAAGTTATAAGGCTCCTGGAATAAAATTTTCAAAGAAACTAAAGGAGCTTTTCTATTACCTTCACTAAGAGATGAGATATCTTGTGGTAAATAGTTTAAAAGAGCAAATAATTTTGTTGGGGAACAAACAGAAGAACATGAAAAGAAGATGGAAAGAACATGAAAGGACATGAAAACAAAAATGTATGTAGCTCACCAGAGAGTGAAAATGAGCAGAAGAAGTTGGGGCTGCCTCTCTGCCCACAGAGCTTGGTGGGTTCAGAGTACTAGACTGAGAGGTGACTGGAGAATCCTGGGTGGAGGATATCCAAGAAGTCCGCGCTGTTGTAGTGACTGACAGAAAAGCAGAAAGAGTGTAATTACATTAGATTTTCCCTTTTCCCTTCTTTTTTTCCTGGCATTCTTTTCTAATTACAAAAACAGCACATGTTTGTTACTATGTAATAGAAAATTACAGAGAAGAATATCACTCATGATGATCACTTTAAGAGTTTTATGTATATCCTTCCAGTCTTAGTCTCTCAGTCTTTCAGTATCTATTTCTCTCTATGTTATCTACTTATCTATACACATACAGATAGGCATATAGTATTTTAGCACTTTATAGTACTTTATAGTTTATAAAGAGTTTTTTGGGGCTGGCCCGTTGGCCAGCTAAGTGCGTGTGCTCTGCTTTGGCAGCCCAGGGTTCACGGGTTCAGATCCCGGGCACGCACTGACGCACCACTTGTCAAGCCATACTGTGGCGGCGTCCCATATAAAATAGAGGAAGATGGGCACAGATGTTAGCCCAGGGCCAATCTTCCTCAGCAAAAAGAGGAGGATTGGCATCGGATGTTAGTTCAGGGCCAATCTTCCTCACAAAAAAAGAAAAAAAAATAGTTTTTCATATACATTACCTAATTCAGTCCTGTGAAGCGCATTATTATGCTCATTTTTCAGGTTATAATAGCAGCCAATATTACATACAATATCTGTTATGTGTATTAGCAGCCATTCCTGATTTTTTTTAAAGCTAGATACTCAACTATTTTAAGGTTAAGAAAAAAGCACACCACCACTGAAGATATGTTGTTTTCTCCTAGAAGAATCTATTGGAATCCTAAAATATAATCATTTTAATATACATACACATAAAACACAATTTGGAGAGTTTTAATATTTTTTCTGTATCTTATGTCTAATATTGGTGAATAAAGGATAAGAATTCATGCATTATGAATATTCTTGAAGCCGGGAAATATGGAGCTTAATTCCTGCTAAAGAATGTCAACTTTAAGAACAGATCAAAGTATATATTTTCTTATTCAAAAATGAAGAGCATTTTTATTAATAAGGTCCAATGTATTGAAACACTCATACACAAAAATACCCCTCCTAATAAGGATAATCTCTGCAAATATGATCAGCATTTTTTGTAAGTGAAAGCGTAAAATATGGGCATCACTAGTGAAATCAGATGACATGATGTGGGATTTTGTGGGATTTTGATGTGGTCCTTGAGATATATCATTGTATGTCTTGGACAAGGAGTCTGAAATCAAATCATTTCTCTAAATCTATTTCTTTACCTGTAAATAAGTGCTTGCCTACATCACAGCATTGTTGTGGAGACCAAGTAATGTATATAAAATGCTTTAAAAGCCCTACCCAGGAAATCACCAATTGCATGCAGTGTAATAGGAGTAACAGTGGATGTGTGCACAGGGTGCTGTGGACATCAGGCTGGAAGGCTGGAGAAGTTTTCCTGGAGACGTGTCTGTACCAGTCAGGGTCCAACTAGAAGCGTGGAAACTACTCTCGGCACTTGAAACGGGGCATGTAATGCAGGGAATTGGTCACACATGTAATGAAAGATCTGAAAAGCCAGTGAACTATTGGGGAGACATCCCAGAGATTAGCAAAAGCAGGCAGCCACCACCTCCTCTGGCTACATGTACGCGGTTAAGAGTTGGTATGCTTTCCCTTTCCTTCTTTTCCCCTCCATGGCAACATTGGTCCCGTGTGGTCCAGGGGTCTACGAATAAATTGGAGAAGGGCCACTTAATCACATCTGACTATGATGCAGGCCAGAAACTGTCACTGTGCTAAACTCTTGAGATTTCAGAGTTTGTCTGTGGGATAGATAGTCTTAGTTGCCCTGACTAACACATGTATCCTATTGGGCTGAAGATAAAAATCTAAAGGTCATGTATTAGCACACATGTGGTAGCTGAAGCCAAGGGAGGATAAGGAGGTATCCTACGGAACTTGCAAAAAGGTAAAAGACCAGAAGACTGAGAATAGAGCTATCATCAGCCACATTTAGAGGCCAAGTGGAAAAGTATTGAGAAAGAAAAGAGAACAAAATCATAGAAGCTAGGGACGAGGGTTTTAAAAAGGAGTTGGTTTGTAACATTATTAGATCCCCTTGAGAAAGCAAGAAAATTCTGGACAGAAAGTCCATTCAATTTGACAACTTTGGTAACAGCAGTGAGAGCAGCTTTCAGAAAGTGCTGAGATTCCCATCATGTAGCAATGGTGGAGACATGAACAGAGAGCAAGCACACATTTCTCTTCCAAGGAGCTAGACTCTGAAAGGAAGAAGGACTGACTGAACGTCATCCTTGGGGGGAAGGAAAGATTGAGATTTAATGCATGGCTGTAGGTACTAATAAAAATTACAACTATTATGCTGGTAATTGAAGGATAAATTAGTGTTGTAATCCTTGCATTCTTATTTCCTAGATATGGAAAAAAAGTCATCACACATATAGAAGCATAAATCTATTCGAACTTACCTCATATCTCCACACTCCTCCAATGTCATCACTTCCTTCAAAGTGGGTGGGCTCCAGTCCCTCCTCCAGACAGACCTTAATGGCACCTAAGCCACTGACACCAGCACCAATCACTGCAATTCTTTTTCCCGGCATTGCGTCTTGTCTCAGGAAACTTATTAGTATAAAATCATATTTTTATTGCCATGTAATTTTTTCCAATAATGTAAGATTAGTTTTTTTTCTAAAATTGCTAGTTAATGCGTTTAAGGAATATCCTAGTCAAAGCTGTTATGCCACTCAAAGGCTCTCCGAGGGACAGAAAATCCTACCTCACTTAGGCTTTCTCATTTTCAAGTACAAAGTAGATTGTTTTTAAAAATGATTTGACTTCTAAAATTTTCCTACTCATATGACTTCATTGTTACATTTTTTGGTAGCTTCCTTCTACCTAATACATTTATACACACACACACATACTCACGTACACACACTCACACACACCCTGAAAAATCTCTTCACACACAGATTTTGCCCAAACTGACTTTTAATTCCTTCCACTACTACTATCTGCTTGTTGGGATAGTCATGTTGGGCACTTTTCTACAGTTTACTTTTTTAAGCCAGAGAATCTCTACTTTTGCCCAGTCATAGGGTTTGAAGTGGGCAAAAAAGAAGACCCCCAACTGAGCATTTCATTGTGTAAGTATCACTCATTGTACTCTCCGTGGGGCAGAGTGTGAGCTATGTCAATTTAAGTGGTCTTTAGAAAAGTAGTCCAACTGCCTTCACACCAGAGATAATGTCCTGCCATTCACTCATTCACTAAATATTTACTGGGCACCTACTACATGCCAAACACTTCCTTAGTGGGCAGACACAGCAGGGAACAGATCAGACACAGTTCTTAGTGAGGTAGAGACTAACAAATAAGTAAATAAGTAGTAAGCCAGATGATAATACATACTATGGAGAAAACCAAAGCAGGGTAGGATCTATAGGGAATAGAGGGAGGGTACTATTTTATTTAATATGGTCAGGGGGTGCTCACTGATGACATTTAAGCAGGAAGTGAGGGACCAAGCCATGTGAATATCTGAAAGAGAACTCCAAACAGATTGCCCATGGCAGCTACAAGCTGGATGTTTTTGAAGACAAATGAGAGCTTTGTGAGTGGGTGCCAAAAGGATGTAAGGGACATAATGAAGTTGGAGAGGAAGCACTAGGCACCGGTATCAGAGTCAGTATCAGTATCAGAGATCAGAGCAGGCAGTGCACTTTTTCAAAGGATGGAGCAAAGAAAATATGTGGACTACACAACATCAACAGATATTCGGAAATGCTATTTACCTGTAAGTGCCTCTGAGGACACTACTTCTCTCCTCATCCTGTCTACTCTACAAGGTTATGTTCCATCCTTTATCACTCAGCTGAACCATGAGGTAATAGAATTTTCTTAAGCGATGTCTCCTTAATTTATCATCTGGCGATTTTCTTTGCTCTCTACTCTGAATTGAAGGAGAAACTGAATGGAATTCTGTACTGCATTTGAGCAACTTTATCTTATAGTGGATTAGAGCAGCTATTAAAATATGAGACTATTTTTTGATCTAGAGTTCCTTGGTAAGTTCTTTTGATTTAAGGCTTATTAACATAACCATGTACCACTGATGTATTGCTACTACTTGATAATGTATCCAAAGTCTATAAGCAATGAGTCTACCCAAAGACAACAGCAAGTACCTAAATAATCCCCCGGAGAACACCAGCTAATGCATAGGTGTTCCAAGTACTTAGGAGGGTTAAAATGTCAGCCAACACTCTGTACTACGCAATAGCAGAATGAGTCAATATTAACAAGGAAAATTAAATCAGAAATACATGGATAAAGAATATTACGTTTATTAATTTGAAAAGCAGACCCAAACACTCAGTGTTCATTTCTAAATGCCAAGGCTATTACATTTCCATTAGATATATAAATTTGCTTGAAAAATCACCTTTCAAATGTCAAAAATGTCTAGTCAAATACTTTTCTTCAGGGTATTTGAATTCCCTGACTGCTGAAATAAAAAGCTATTAGCACATACAATTGCTGTTCAGCGTGTTATAGGTGTCCTTGATCATTTCCATCCCCTCCCTACTCCAGAGGTCCCCTTAAACTCTAGTTGCCAATCACCTCTGTGCATTTATCCCCTCATCTGAAACGAACCCAAGCAAAACCTCAGCGGGCCAAATCCCTCTCCATACATACAGCCGACACTGTCCACAGCCTGTCTTCTGCCATGCTGGAAATGGTAATGAGTTTAATAAATTTTTGGTCTATTTTTCCTTCCCTTGTGAATATTCCAAGCTAATTATCTTTATCTTTTGATTGTGTATATGGAACACAAGGATATTTTTCCAATCATGTAGTTATATGTCATAAAATAAAATTTTAAAAATCCCCTTAAGCCCCGGGGTCTTCAAGGAAATAAAGGTCGTAAAACTAACCTGTAGCAAGAAGAAAAATAAAAGCAGATTTGCTCTTGGAGTCTCCAGGCGCTGAGGTAAAGATATGGGCTTCAGAATGTTTGTCTCCTAAGGAAACTACTGGTTTCTTCTTGGCTCTTTCCAATACTGAAGTAGCCCACTAAGGTGAGTTTTATGTGATGGCTAATTTGCAAAAACTCCTCCCTTTGTCTTTCTCTTTTCCACGCTTCTTTTAAAGTTGGGATTCAGGTAAAGAAACTGTCATGTCATCAAATTTTTCTAAACATAGTAATTGTGTAGGTTTCACAAAATCTAATTAAATCAAAGGTACAAAGAAGCCTGGAAGGAACTCAGTTAAGACAGTGTACAGCTCGGTAATCCATCTATAGTGAAACTTGGAAAATATAGGGAAACTCTTTGTCTCCTGCTGTGATAGATAATGAGTGTAAATGCATTTCAATTGATAGAACATTATCGCCAAAGCTAGGATAGGGAATGGGAGTGATTAACCAAAAACATCCTCTAAACATTTTGTATATTTCTGACTATTTCTTTATGGTAAATTCCCACAACTGCAATGGCTGAGTCAAAGGCATTTGAGAAACAATTTTTCAGATTTTTGATATATAAATCAAAATATTTCTTTATCGAAACTTTGTATTTCTCCTATAAAGATTAAAGCAGTTTCATCATGATTAAAAATGTTTGAAGAGGGGCCGGCCAGGTGGCATAGTGGTTGAGTTCACTTGCTCCGCTGTACTGGCCCGGGGTTGACCGGTTCGGATCCTGGACGTGGACATACCCACCTCTCGTCAAGCCATGCTGTAGTGGTGTCCCACATAAAGTAGAGGAAGATGGGTACAGATGTTGGCTCAGAGTTAGTTTTCCTCAGCAAAAAGAGGAGGATTGGCAATGGATGTTGGCTCAGAGCCAGTCTTCCTCACAAAAACAAAAAACAAGAAAGTTTGACAATACCCTTTTCCTCCTCCTTGCTAATTACATAAATATTCCATTTTCTTAACGGAATCTGCAGTTCTTTGAATATCAGTGGGTCTACACTCTGTTCATATATTTTTGGTCAACTTGTATTTCTTCTTTGGTGAATTTGATGAATATCATTTCTACATTTTTCTATTCTTTTTGTTTAAAGAAATCTTTTAGTATTATAAATAGAAACCATTTTTCTCTTATACACTTTTCAAATATTTTATCTTGTTTTCTCATTAGCTTTTAAAAATTACATAGATTTTTCTTCCATTTTTATCAAGTGAAATGTATTTTTTTCCTTTATAGTTACTGCCTATTGTGTTATAGTCTTGTCTCCAGATTATAAAATTATTCATCTATATTAGTTATTTTTCTTATAGTTTTATGTTTTTATTTAACTCCTTGATATTTCTAGAGTTTGATTTTGACATATGATGTGAGGTAATACTTCACCAAGATCTTTTTTTTTTTCAATAATTCACCAGGTGTCTCTGCCGATTTTCTTGAACAAGCAATCCTTTCCCTATTGTGTCAGAAATGCCGTCTTTATAAAATCCTCAGCATTTATATATTTAGTTTTATTGTGGCTCTCTCTTTTCTGCTCCACTAATGCTTCTTTTCATTCAGATATCAAGTCCACACTATTTAATTACTGCTGCTTTAAAGATTTTTGATATTTCCCTGTGCAGCCTCCAATTACTCCTTTTTTTTCAATATTTTCTTGACTTTCCTATCAAGTTTATTTTTCTAGATGAAACTTGGAGTAATTTTGCACAGTTCCCAGAAATAAAATTTTGTTAAATTTATCTTTTAACTATGGTATAATTGATGAGTTTATAACATGGAACATCTATATAGAAAACTATATATGTATAGGTTATATTTTTAATAGTTTGTAGACACACATATTTCAATCATTTGCTGAACTCTCATTCATTCTAAATATTTCACAGATTCTCATGTCAGTCCAAATAAAGAATCAAAGAATCAAAAGATAATATAATTTGATTTCTCCCTTTCTGATAAGTATGCCTGTATTTTTCTTCTCATTTACTGAGTTGTCTAGAACTTCCAGAACACTTTCCAAGAGCAGTGGTGACCGAACATGTTCTTTTGTGTGTTTTACCCTTGAGTATGATGTTGGCTGTTGGTCTGAGAAACATGTGCTAAATCATATTAAGGAAACATTCTTCTCTTCCTGTATAGCTCTGTGTGTATGTGTGTGTGTTTAATCAGGAAGTAGTATTGATTTTATTGAATGCATTCCTGAAATCTATTAAGATAATCATATAATTTTATCATTTCATCTATTAATTGATGGATTATATATATTAATAGATTTCCCATTTGAACCATACTTTAATTTTGGCATTAAATCTTACTTGGTTATGATACACTAGCGTTGAAAAATGTTGGATTCTATTTCTTAGAACTTTGTTAAGAGTTTTTGTGTTTAAAATTACAACTAAGGTTGGCCTGTTGCTTACTTTTTGTGTGCTGTCTTTGTCAAAGTTATGCTATCTTTGTTGTTAGGGTTATAAAGACGCTTCAATAGTTACTTGATACTGTGGACAGTTTACAGAGTGTGGTAATTATCTGTATATTGAAGGCTAGCACCAATTTTCTTGGGGAACCATCTGAGTCTGGTTATTTTCTTGGAGATAATTTTTATTTTTAAACTCTTCATTTTATAGGTT